GTGGCCGACGACGGTGGGCCGTGCGATTTGTCGGGGCCTGGCGTGGCTCCATGCAGGGGGCGGTCTAGCAAAATTCAGAACGACACGCTCACTGTCTTCTGCGGGCGCCAGTCGGTAGTCTGTCTCACGGAGCTCCAGGCGTTGCATAAGAAGGACGCCGACAACATCGCTACGGCCGTGCTCCGGTCTGGTCTCCCTGTCGTTCGTAGGTGCGTAGATGCCCGACGGGGGTCGCCATCGCCCATCCGCATCCTGCACCTCCTGGTCGGCGACGCCGTCGGTACCAATGGGGCGGCAGCTCGCCGAGTCTGCAAGTATTTGCAACAATTGGAGTCGGAATTGGGGTGCCTCATCTGTTTGGTACAGAAAGTGCGCCTCGCACCAGAGCAACCTATGCGTCCACGTCGCCGTGGCCGGGGGGCTTGTGGCCAAACCTGCTGAAAATAATCCGTTGGCTGGGACATGCGCGCGGTTGTTCCGCTACTTGTTGAGCGACTACTTGGAGGAATTCGCATCTGCTCTTCGCCGTTTCGTCGTCGATAAGCTTCGCGTTATTCCCCCCGGCGCCGAGGCCGGGGTGGCCGCTGCCAGAGACGGCGGCCATCGCAACAAACAGTTGCAACTGCTATACGGTGCGCAGGCTATCCCTGGCGAGTTGTGCGAGTTTTTCAATGCTGGCGTTGGCGTATTCGCCGCCGTCGCAGCTGAGCCTCCGGAGGGGCATGCGTCCTTGCAAACTCAGGCGCACCGTCTGTTGCACCGCCAGCTGTTCAAGCTGGAGAACAAGCCGATCACCACGAGGTTTTGGCTCTTCACGGAATGCGGAGGGATTGAAAGTCGGCGACGACCAAACCCTGGTCCAGAGAGGGGGGCGGGGGCAGAGGGAGGGGGGAGGGGCGCCTTCCAAACCCAGCGGTCTAGGGGTTGTTCGGCCGACGCAATTCCAACGCATTACAGGACGCCGTGTTCACGCTACTGCGCTTCGTGCTGCTCGGCCTCAAGCCAGATGATATCTTCGTGCTAAACATGAGAAGCCCCAGGAAGATAAGCAGAGACGGTTGAAGTCCGTCCGGGCTTTCTTGACGCGTCCAGACTGCGGGCAGTTGCTCCGCAAGGCGGCGCCATGTCTCAGGCTGACCCAGCAGGCCGCGTCTATCACAGGGCAGAGTCGCAAAAGCACGGCCGTGCACGGCAAGCCTCTGCTGCTGAGGCTGGCCCAGGGCGAGGTCCAGCAGGCCGCGTCGAGGGACCTCCAAACAATGATCCCGTTGTTGATGCAGGACGAGGCTTTGGACGCCAGTGGCGCTCTGATGGGCCTTCTCCGTGCGCAGGGCCACGTCGTTGCCCGATTCCAACAGTACGCGGGGTACCCTTTGCTTCTTTGGAAAATTGTGCGAGCATTTTACGGGGGCGCTGCTACGAACGAGGCCCAGGCATTCATCCGCCTCCCCGCCTCTACTCTCGACGCGGGATACTCCCTCCGACTACAGACGGAGGCAAGGCGCGGGCGAACAGACGAGCAGGCTGCATCGTGGCTGATGTCTTCTGGTGCCCAGCAGGAATTGCATGATTTTGTCCATTCAGGCGAGGGGGATAGCTTAGACGTCGAAAGGGAGCACAAGTTTTCGAAAAAGAACGAGGCTTCGCGCACGAGTGGCGTGGCCAAGTGTTCCCGCAACAGAATCCTCAGGCGCGTGCAATTGCGGCGTGAGGAGCGCGTGCAGCGTTCCCAGAAGGACATCACCATGACATATTGGAAATTGGCCACGCAGAGACAGCCAGAGTTATTTGTTCGCCCCCGCGGGCGCCTGCACTGGGAGACTGGCGTATCTGACGACCATGCGCGTATGTTGGTTCAGCGCGGGGACGAGGCGCGTCGGAATGAGTATCTCGCAGAGCATGGGCAGGCGCTCAGGGCCGAGGCGGAGGTAATCCGAGAGTCAGCGAAAGCGAAGCTTCGGAGCCTGGTGGACGATGATCCAATTATGCCGTTGACGAACGCCCAGTGGTTGAAATGGCTGGACTCCAACGCAAGTGAATTCCATGATCATTTGGTTTCGGCTAGCAAGGCGCGGCGAGAGCTGAACAGGAGGGTGACTCCGTTTGAGGGGCTTTCCGACATGGACCGGTTGCAGCCGATCCGCGCGGCCACTGACCGTTCGTCATTCGGGGCGACGCTCGCCAGGCAGCCGCCTGGCATTTTCTGCGCTGCTCAGAGCGGTGAGAAGTATACGTTTTTTGCATTCTCTTTATGGTCCGAGACATGGGGGTTTCTATTACCTCGGGATGGCCGATCTTTGACACTCAACGTCTCTGCAGGATTTTCGGACATCTACAAGCCCATTTCCCAGGTCCTCCGGGATGCTGGAGCGGGCCTGCGCGCCGACGACTGCGAGTTGCATCGCATTGCGGCGCGCTTGTCCCGGACGTCAGAGACCGAGGCCGCTTTATGGATAGAGGCGATGGACCCTGTTGAGATCGACGCTTGCCCCGAGGGCGACGCGGGCGAGATGGGTGCATCGCCCCCCCCCCCCGGCAAGGCGGAGGTGGGCGGCGTCGGCGAGGATGTGTGGGCGAGCGACGCTAGCGATATAGCGACGCTGTGTTCCGATCCTGAAACCGCCGCGGAGGACATCCAGGAGGAGCCCGGCAAGGACGAGGGTCAGGAGGGGGAGGTTGCGAGCGAGGCGAGCCATGAGTCCAGCGACGAATCCGACTTGGAGGAGAAATGCAAGAAGGCAGCCCCGAAAGACATTTTCACGATTTGGAAGAACGGATACTTCAGACTCCATAGCCACCCAGGATATCCCAATGCAAAGCTCCTGATATTGGACGAATGGTGCAGGCCAGTTGACGAAGGGGGCATGGGGGAGGTCCAGATGTCTAAGACTATCAAGACCGCCCCTCTCGACGGGGATGCCCCGGAGCCGACAATGACGCATCTGTGTTTGAGGGCTTGGATGATATGGAGGTTCCAGCAACACGGCTTCAGTGAATCGACGAGCTCTCGCAAGAAATTTCTCGCTTCAGAGCGGGCTTCCCTTCGAAAAGACGTGGGGGCCACCACGGGATCTGCAAAAGCAGATGCCAAGATTCGCGAGTGGGCTCCCGAAGTTTTGAATTAGATGTGCTGATGCAAGGAAACGAACGGAAGCGAACAATCACAATCATCACCATCATCGTCATCACCATCATCATCATCATCATCATCATCATCATCATCATCATCATCATTACCATCGTTATCATCCTCATCATTATCATCATCATTATCATTACCATCATCATCACCATGAATTGGTTCGCGTGGGAGTGGTACTTCGACCTGTGTTTGCTCTGGTTCTTCCTCGGGGTCGTCATCCTGGCGTTCGGCTGCGTCTACGAGTGCTGCGTCGGCGCTCCCGACGCGAAGGCCCGAGAGGCAGAGGCGGACGTCGAGTGAGCCCGAGTTCGACGCTACGCCTGTTGAGCTTGTAGACCGTTCATCATGTGTGCCCTCCACATGTTGCGATCTGCGTTGACCTCGCTTGAGACATCCTCACAAAACGGGCCCCGGGGGAGATGCCCAGAGGAGCCCAGAGCGGCCTCCAGCACCGTTTCCGGACGGATCCGCTGGATCCGGTGGATCCGCCGACGAATCCCAAATCGGCGCCTTCGCCTGAGACATCCTCGCAAAACGAGCCCCGGGGGAGATGCCCAGAGGAGCCCAGAGCGGTCTCCTCCTCCCACTCCTCCTAGGCCCAGAGTGGCCTACGAGGAGTGGGAGGAGGAGGAGGAGGAGGAGGAGGAGGAGGAGGAGGAGGAGGAGGAGGAGGAGGAGGAGGATAGGAGGAGGAGGAGGAGGAGGAGGAGGAGGAGGAGGAGGAGGAGGGAGGAGGAGGAGGAGGAGGAGGAGGAGGAGGCGGGGGAGGGGGAGGGAGGAGGAGGAGGAGGAGGAGGGAGGGAGGAGGCGGAGGAGGAGGAAGGGAGGGGAAGGAGGGGGAGGAGGGGGAGGAGGGGAAAGAGGAAGGGAAGGAGGATGAATACAAGAAGAATACGGAGGGGAGGAGGAGGAGGAGGAGGAGGAGGAGGAGGAGGAGGAGGAGGCGGAGGAGGAGGAGGAGGAGGGAGGAGGAGGAGGAGGAGGAGGAGGAGGAGGAGGAGGAGGAGAGGAGGAGGAGGAGGAGGAGGAGGAGGAGGAGGAGGGAGGAGGGAGGAGGAGGAGGAAGAGGAGGAGGAGGAGGAGGAGGAGGATGAGGACAAGGAGGAGGAGGAGGAGGAGGAGGAGGAGGAGGAGGAAGAGGAGGAGGAGGAGGAGGAGGAGGAGGAGGAGGAGGGGGAATATGAGGAGGAGGAGGGGGAGGAGGAGGAGGAGGAGGAGGACGAGGAGGAAAAGGAGGGGAGGGGAGGAGGAGGAGGAGGGGAGGACGAGGAGGAGGAGGAGGAGGAGGAGGAGGGTGAGGAGGAAGGCGAGGCGTGCGCTTCCCATGGGCCCCATATTTTGACCCATGAGGAGGAACATTCAGCTGCCATGCCAGCTTCTTCTTCATTGAATCTTCAATGCCGCATTTGGCCCAAACCCATTTGTCCACCTTCTCACATTCGCCTCTTGAGTGCTGGCGCCGTTGGCGCGCGAGTGCCCGCCTGATGCAACAGCTTCTGGTCAACAGTGATCGGCCCGGTGCCGAGGGAGGTCGGTGGAGGCAGGTGGCATCTTAGAAACCAGTGACACTTTTCGCAGCGCGGGCCGCTTGGGCCTCTTGGGCTTGTGGCCGCTGGGGCCGCTTAGGGCCGCTTGGGCCGCTTTGGCCTTTCCTCCTCCCCCCCTCCTCCCATCCTCCTCCTCCTCCTCCTCCTCCTCCTCCTCCTCCTCCCCCTCCTCCTCCTCCTCCTCCTCCTCCTCCTCCTCCTCTTCCTCCTCCTCCTGCGCCTCCTCCTATTCCCCCCTCTGCTTCTCAAGACCGCCTGGTTTCTAGTTGCCATTGTGCCCTGCCCCCGCCCTGCCCTCGCGCCGCCGACAGGAGGCGCGGAACAGGGCTGTGAAGGCCTTGCGATCACTCGGGAAGAAAAACTCGGACTTCGCGGGGGCCGAGACCGACGAGCAACAAATCCAATCGTACATGAGAGCTGCCGCCAGCTTGCCACACGGCGACAGGGTGACCCCGAACCTCCTCCGGACCGGCCGCAGCACGGCAAGCACGAGCACAGAGGTGAACATTGAGTATTGGACACAGTACAAGACGCGCTTGCCTGTCGTTCCCGAAGCGGCCAAGCCGCACTTGGTCGATCCTGAAACGATCCCCAATCTGCCGTCGAACGTGGGTCCCGCGAGCGGGATATGGTTCTTCGACAAGCAGATCAACAATGACCCGTCGGTGAGGATGCTGGACTTGGGCCTGGGGCTGTTCACCACCAAGGCGAAGGCTGGTAATAAGGTTGAGTTCGACGCCGGCGCTGGTGCTTCGGCGCTCCCTGGCCCGGCCCCGCGACCAGAAGAGGAAGCCGAGAGACCAGCGCCTGTGGCCGGTGCCGACGGCGCGGGGCTCGCGGACGCGCCGCCTGCCCGGCGCGGCCGGAGCCTGGGCCGGCAGAAGAGCGAGACTGAAATGACGGACGAGGAGGTGGCGCGCGGCATGTTCGACGCTGCCAACAAAGCGCCTTCCTTGTGGGATCCAGATCCGTTCGTGACGACCTCCCTGCAGGCGGTGACGGCGCGGTTCACGCAGCACGTGGCCGAGGTAGCGAAGAGGACTAGCACCGACACGGTTTGCCCGGAGCCAGCGCCAGAGTACATGTTCAAGTATTATTCTGGAGTCACGAAGCTGTTATTGAACGCAGATGATTCGTTTGGCGTAGTGCATCATTTCTCCAAAGCCTTCGAAGATGCAGCGGCTGCGTGGCCCGCCGTCGCCCCCAAGATGCCCCTGCAGATGTGCAAAATGGCGTCGATGAAGCTCGAGGAGACGGTGTCTTTGACCGGTACCGAGATCACCAGCCTACAGAAGGATCTCCCATGGGCAGCCTGGGAAGTGTTGCGGAAATCCAAGTTTTTTGCCGCTTTCACAGCAGCGCGGAACGCAGCGCTCACGAAGAAGATCAGGTCAAGCGTGGGCCTCGTGAATCGCGCGCAGATCGTTGCCTCCCTGCTGTCTCAGGCCGGCGAGGGCGCGGACGAGAAAGATGAGCTCACCCTCATTTCCACGCTCCTGGGTCCGATCAGCCAGAATGACATCCTCAGCCTCTTGTTCTCCGAAGGCGACGATAATCAGCGCGCCAGGGCGTTCGACCAGGTGCGCGCCTGGTTCCCGAGCTGGACCAAGACTGCTGCCTGCGGCCCCCTGTCGCTGGAGCCCCTGGACCTCGCGGCGATCTCCGGCAAGGACGTCCTGGAGGCGGCGAGCTTCCTGGTGGCTGAATGCGAGGACCTGTCGTTCATTCCGAACGCCCCCCTCCGCAGCCTGGGTTCCTTCTACAAGAAATGCTCCGCCGGCGGCGGCGCGGGCCTCCCGGGAGCCAGCGCCGCGCACGGGCGCATGTGGGTGAACGGCGTGTCCTTGGATCTCGTCTCCCTGAGGCGCGGCCTCCAGGCATGCGATGCGGCCCCGCCCCCTCTGCGCGCCCCGCGCGCCCCGCTGTGCGAAGGCATCGTGCGTGCCGGAGGGGGCGGCCTGAGCGAGGCCACGGCCAAGGCCGAGAAGGGCGACGCGCGGGTGCACCTCCGGACCCTGCAGGCGTGGGCTGCGAGCCCGACAGCGACCCCGGGCCCGACGGCGGCTCCGGGCGCGGAGGAGAAGGCCGCGGCGGAGCCAGCAGTCCGCGGGTCGCCGGAGGGGCCGGGGGCGGGGGCAAGGCTTTTCTCAGAGCAGGGCGTTGTTTTCAGAAGCTCCGGGACTGATTCCAGGAATCCCGTCAGGGATGGTCTTCTGAGAAAGGCCTTGCCTTCCGAGAAGCTTTGCCCCCCCCCGGCCCCCCTGGCGGGCCGCCGGAGCAGCGAAGGCGCAGCCGGTGCCCAAGGGGCCTTCGCCCGGAGCTCAGCAGGCGGCGTCGCTCGTGGAGGGCGCCGCCGTCGCGTTCAACCTCGCGCAGAATCGGCGGCGAGCGCGGGGGGGATATGAGCGGGGCGGCTGGGTTCGTCACCAGCTTCTAGATAGTCAACTCTGTCTTCAGAGAAGGCGGGGGGAATTTATGCATACACCCTCGGGCTTCTGAGAAGCCCCGCCGCTTTCTGAGCAGGCCCACCCCCTTTTCAATCTCCCCCGGGCCCGCCGCCGAGAGAAAGATCTCGTGCATAAGTTCGGGAACTGCAGGGGGGAGATCACGCAGGTGATGGGCGACGGCAGAGAGTGCAAGGTGCGCCTGCTCACCGGGGCCCACACGGGCGAGGTGCACAAGTTCACCAAGGGCCAGGTGAAGGCGGATGCGCCGAGCGTCGGCTCGTCGAGCGGCCTCGCCGCGCCTGCGGGGACCAGCAGCAAGAGGCCGGCCGACAGCGCGCCCGAGGAGGGCAAGAGGGGGGGCGGA